CATGATAAGTGAATTATCAAAAGTCTGCCTAAAATCCACTTCTGCATGATAGTCAAGATGAAGGACTATCATCCAACTGCGTACTGTTTCAAATATGGTAAGCTAGCATCAAAACATGAAGTGAATAAAATTCATGTTTTTTTTTTTTTTTTACTTAGGCCTAGCCCTAACCTAACCCTAATGCTAGCCCAGGACAGTCACTATTAATATTGCTGGGATCAGTGTTCAATGAGTTATTCACCACAGCATCTGAGACCAAATTAGACATAGCAGGTCTTGCCACTTTAAGCAGCCAGGATGTTAAGCATTTACATGGTTAGAGTCAATTCTCAAAGCAGAATTCTCAGGCCCATTCTCACATTCAATGTTTTGGAAGGTATCTGTGATCAAATATATAAAACTGGAGGAAGATTTTGGCCCGGTAGGCATGCTATGACTACCCAGATATTGTTATTCCTCTATTATGTGTGCTCAGAGCACATGTCTCCAAAGCATCTGCAAATTGCTTCTCCAAGTTCAGACAGCAATTCCTTTCGCAACATGAAAGAAATGAAGAAATGAAGCCTGGGTCTTTGCTAGAAAAGGAGAAGGTAGTCTTTTTGGACCATAACATCTTTGACAATTGGAACAACTGTCCTGCGCACATCTACAAAATGGTAGTCATGGGAGGCACAACAAAGGACAAATAAGCTTCCCAAAAGACTGCACAAAGCAGAGGTAGAGTTTTTTCAGTCAACAGAGACCTAGTTCACAGAAACATCAGCTGCAAGTAAGAAAATATTTTTATTCTTTTAATTTGGAAGACAGGGTAAGGACGTGTCCAGGGTCATGGGCTTTGTTGCTTACCCCTCTGCTAGAAAAACAAATAAACAACAAGCTGGTGGAATTTTACTCCTGGACAAGAACTACAGAATAGGCCAAAGTTTTCACCATCTCAGTGCCTTTGCTAGAAGTTATAATAGTTACATCAATGGCATTTTATGCTATCTTAGACAGTGTTCATTTAAAAGCTATCCTGTTCTTTTATCACAAGGGAGCAATTAAGCAAGTAGAAACAATACATATTTGTATTCATGAGAACAGTATTTATTGAGGGTTGTCTTAATATTTAGTCTACCAAAGGTATCTTTCTTTTCACACAAAAAGTGATGACTGCTTTTCTAAAGCAGGCACTGCAACTTTGTGTGGGGCAGTAAAAGCTACGGAAAGAGAAGTTCAGAGAAAAAAAGGCCTTTGCAACAGAAATAAGTCTCATTGGATTCAGTAGGATTACTCTGAAGGAAAAAGTGTCTAGGGTTGCAGTTTTAATGCCTGTCTGAACTAAAAATAATGAGTATGTCTGTATACCACCACAACATTTATTGAATACTGATTTTTTTTAAAAAAATGTTTTTGCTTTAGAAATAGTAAACATGAAGAAATAAAGGGCAGTCACGTTCCTGCTTACAGTGCTAGGTTTCTAATAAAATAGTAGAAAAAATTGAAAAGCAATCATTTTCTGGTTCTTTGAATAAAATATGAGGGCCTCCATTATTTTCTATGAATATTGCAGTCAGAATTTGATGTTACAACCAAAAAATCTAATCAATACACTGCTTATAACAAATTTCAAAGATCTCTAAAGGCAACATTTCTTTTACCATAGATTTATATGATTCTGAAAGCACCTCTATCAATAACTATATGATTTCTGTAGGGTAAAATCCTTTTTTCCCATTGACTCCACTTTTAAAGTAAAACTTATGGATGTGCACATTTTAAATTCTTAAACTGAGCAGATTTTCAAACACGTTGAAATATACCACAACTTAAGTTCAGCAAATGCCAATATAATGCAGATATTCCTTTCTATGTTGTAAAGAGCTATCTTTCTTTGTTTTGCGCTTAAGGTGTGATCAAGAAACTGAATCTTGATTCCCTCCCCCCGCCTCAAACAGCGATATATGAAAAAATAATTTCAGATTCTTTTATCAGCTTGCATCTTTTGCACAGAGCAGACACTTGGATCTAAGTGAGATTGCAGTGTGATTTTCAGACCACCCCCACAAAAGAAAGGAAGGAAGGAAGAAAAAAGAAAGAAAAGGAGTTGTACATCAAACCTATGCATTTTTGACACTGTGAGTAATTGTGTCCTGTTGTGATTCATTAAATTCTCATTCACTGTTCTACACTGTTCTACATTCACTATCCTACAAAGCCAATTCCTTCAAGTCAATGATGTATGTTGCAAATTGTAGCTAGCACTGGACCAAAGTGTATTATATTTGTGCAATCCACTGGAGAGTAAGCAATTGCTCTGTGTATAGGGATGTATGCCACATTCATTACATCGTGGTTTTGAGCAGGATTTATCCATGTTGCACATAGTGGACTAAGCACAAAGGCAAGCACAATCTGAAGGCCAAACATTTAGAAAGCATGTGATGTATTTTTTCTGACCAAAAACAATCTATGTTATGTGTACAAGCATGTATTCATCTGAAAATGTGCATGAAAAATGTACATGTAGAATTACACTGAGAGGAATCACCTTCTCTCCACAGTTCCACTGAAGAGTTTCTATTCAAGGCACTGAAATTAGCACATGGCTCACTCAAGCACAGTTTAGGGATAACATGTTTATTGAGGCAGTAAAATATAACAGTGGAGGGGGAAAGGGGATCGAAGCAGCCAGTTGCTCAACACTCAGAGTTGACTACAGTCCCCAGGACCATCAAGCCTCTCTGCACCAAGAATTAAGACAGCTCATACTATGCAAAAGAGGTACAAAAGAGCTGACTTGCTCTAAACCTAAGTCCTGTATTTCCCCCTTCTCCATCAGCTGGCCAGTGGGGTGATGGCAAAACTCCCAATCCTTCCATCATCATCTCTTTAGCTGCCTGCATATACCATTTGTTCCACCATCCCCAATATGTCCCTTGGCCTCAAAGTCCTGATCAGACTGAGATGTGAATTGCTCCCTTAAACCTTAGCAGTTGGTATTCCTGGACACTATAAACTATCCTTTGATGAAGGCCACCTGGTTCGGCTCCCACCCCATAATGATTTTAAGTCTTTTATAACAGTACATTTGTAAAATGCAGAGAAACATGTTTCAGTAAATTTGAGAATATTTCAAATAAGTTAACTGTTGCATACATTTATAAGACTGTGAACAATAATACAGACACATTTTCATGCCAAAACAAAGGAAATAAAAAATAACAAAGATGGAAATCTGATTTACAAAAAAGACAGAATGAGATTTGAAACAGAATGTGGTCAATGTCAGGAAAGTTTGACTTGTATGCACACCCCAGTTTCCACACTTCCTTCAGATAACCCTGCATCCAGAACTAGGAGGTCTCTCTAATGCTTGTCATGTCTTCTATGCTACTACCAAGTCCTCTCATTTTCACCAGTGGGGACTTAACGTCATGTGCAAGGATTTTTTTAAAACACACAGATACAATGTTATATATGTGCCATCGAGTTATATTCAATACATGGCAGCCCTAGGAATGAATGCTCTGCAAAACATCCTGTCCTTTAAAATCTTGCTTAGCTCTTGTAAATGTTTCCTGTTGGTCTTCCATCTAGATTTGAAATACAGTAAGTTTCACCACACTGATAAATTATGACGAAGTGGCCTACTGAAGATAGACAATGAGGATATGTGAGAATCTTGTTTAAGCAAATGAAGGATGCTAGAGAATTTTATTTAATTTAGTTTTTGAACAAGATCTTACTCAGTTCACACTTTCTGGAACAGAAATTCAGTTGCAATTTCTCCGAACTCGTACAGTTTTGAGCTTGAAGGGTGATTATTTGTTGACAAAAATAAAGTTGTTGGAAATATGCATAAATCTGAAACTTTCACATAAAAAGTGCCTAAAAGCACTTTAATGAACAGGGGAAGAATGTATAATTTCTGAAAATACAAACAAATCTGAAGAAAACAAATCTGATATGGGATCTGAGCTGGAATGAGCTTCAAGACACAATTCAAAGAACTTTTGGACTTTGCTGATTTGCATATCCTATTTGAACATATTCCATTTGCAACCATAGTTTTTATGATTTCCCAGCTTGTATTTGCATTTGAAAACACATGCTTGCAGAGATGTGCACTTCTGGAACTATGATTCAAAAGTGTGCATCCCATCACATAAAACCTGCATTTCCATGCTTTACCCTATGCGAGGATGTTCATATTCTCATGTTTGAAAATGCACATATTTATTATTTGAATGATAACACCCTTGTGTTCTTATGGAGCAAGAATGAAGTAAAATTGATTGTTGAGCTGAAGAATGGAAAAGTTTCACGTGCATTGCTTGTTTTCCCATTCGTAATTGGCATGAATTCTTTTAGTTCTTTATTTTAAAACTTATATTGGACAGGGCACTCATTCATATAAAGAAAACCTTCAAATAGAAGATGGTCCCCTGACAGTCATTCAAGAGGAGGTATGTCCTCTGCAATAGAGGACTTATGGCCATTCTGCATGATTCCAAGTTTATTTATTTAACTATTTTCTTATATCATTGCATTTTCAAGTAAATATGTTAAAACAGATGCATCTTGGTTGTCAAATTGGAAGAAAAAGAAAAAAAGCACAAGTCAGTCATAGAGAAGAAAGAGGTATGATTATTTAACCAGTCTGAATGATTTGGTAAAGCTATGATTCAAGAGAAAACAAAAAATCTAATTTGTGTGAAATTACTCCCTTATTTCATGTAGTATTTGTAGCTGTTCTGAATTAATTAACTGTAGTCCTGAGTAAAGCCTACATGGAGGTTTTTCCCATTTTTCACTTCTAGAATGCTTCCACTGATCACCTCCTTTTCACCTCTGGTTCTTTTAAATAGGTTGTCTTTTTCCCCATAAAGGGGAAGAAATCAGTATTTGCTCATCGGAACTATCTTGCTGCATTTTAATTCTGGTTCAACATGAACATCAGAGAAGCATTATGATGATTTGCACAAAAGATCCTGTGTTTTACAAGAACACCCAAAATAGCAAGCAGTAAGCAATGACATAGCAGTGATTTTTCAAACCCAAAAGCATAAGTGGCTTTTTACTGACAGGAAATTGTTGCTTTCAAACGCTTTCAGAAGACTCCGAAGTCAAAAGAATGTCTCTTTGATTTCATCAGACATTTAAGCCATTTTTTGTATTATTCTTTTTTTAAGCTACCAAGACTTTGTGCCATACAGGTAAGTCTTCAATATTTAATAAAAATGAAAATAATCTCTGCTGGTTGTCATAAAAGAGTTGAACTGAAGCCAGATTTGAATGGAAATTTTTGGAACATCCAAACACAAATCTCCTAAGGACTTGTACTTAGAAATGGCATTTTAATTCAGATGTAGGCTTTATATATATATATACTATATATACTATATATATATATATAGTATTTTGGGTAACAGTGCAAATCATTTAGTACTCTTGGTTATTTCTGTACTACTTTTCAGAAAACAAAGTGGTTTACAATCCAGTTACAGTTAATTTCAAACTTGTAAATGCAGGAAAGATACTATTTTAAAAAGTAAGTTGGAAATTATATGATAAATCCATGGCTCCCCAATTATTTCTGTGGTCAAACATATATCTCATCAAATACGCTGGAAGGTTTTGGAAGCACTTGAAAAATCTGTCAATCTCTTTGGCCATAATGATAATGGTATAGAAAGTAACAATGACCAGCAATGACCATATCATGTTCCTATGAAAATGAAGAGGAAAAAATGTTCTTTTCAGTGACCTTTGTGTCTGAGGAACTGTCAGTGGAACTTGCTTATCCTAATATAAATAGGTTATTGCATGGACACTTACTTGTGTCTTCCAGATGTTTTGAATTACAAATTTCATCAGACTCAGCCAGCATGATCTGTGGTCAAGAAGTATGTGAATTCCAGTTGAAAACATCTGGAGGGCACAAGGTTGCCTACATCTGGGTTATGGTGTGCAAGCATGTTCCAGTTTTCTTTAATGTTATCTTTAAATGTTGTTTACCACTTTTAAGTTAAAGCACTAAAGAAACCAACTCAAAAGTGAATTTCACTGAATCAGTGCGACTGGAGTAAGAATTAATACCAATGCATTAAGGATCAGGGAATCAAATAATTTCCACTTTTGTAGACATTTTGTTTGTGTCAAGGATTTATTCTGGTGGTCAATTTCTGCTCATGGAATGCACCATTAATTCTCAAAAATGCATTCAAGCATGTGCGGGTTTGTTTGCTTTGTTTGAAAGAGCTTAATTCAGTGTTGTGGCTGTGGCAGTCAGTTATAAGCCTTGCAGGAATGAGCCCTGCTGTCTTTCTGGAGAAAAAAGTATTTATTCATTTATTCTATAAATTGAGCATTACTACAACAGTAGTCCAATCCCACAATTAGTCCTTCCTTCATTTTGGGGCATAGTTTCATAGCAGTTGATCAAATAGTCAACACCTCAAAAATTGATTGCTACATTTTTACTGAATTTTGTGCATGAAGTTCTCTCAAAAACAAGATGGGCTTTTAATGCAACAGTGCAATAGATTCTGAAGCTATTTTTCTCCAGGAAAATACTGTTAAGAAATATAACATAATTAAAGCTGCATGGATTTTTTAATTTAATTTCTATATGAAATAATGAGATTTGCCTTTGGAGATACTGACAAAGACAGCAGAAAAAGTTTCTGTGTGTGTGTGTGTGTGTACTGATTAGATGTGTATACATGAAAGCTATATAGACTGGACCAGAATATACACATATTTTCTATTTGACATCTTTCCGAATGAAAATCAATTTTTGATCGTATACAGAAGTCATCATATCCGGCAGTTCAATGAAACTTATTTCTAACTGGATACACATAGGATTCTGCTGGGTGTGTGTCTATAAACACACACACACCACATTCTATGCAACTTATTCCCAAACCTTATTGTCTGTAAAACCATGGAAACTTGAAAAATTTAATTAGCTTCAGAGGGATTTCCAATGCAGACCAAAAATGTAACTGAGAGAATTTTCATGTGGTTTTCCTCTTATTACCTCAGGCATGACAATATGACACTTCAGAAATAAATCTTACTGTCAGGTATTTGTAATGAATATAGTAAGCATTATACACAAGCTTTAGTCATAAAAGAAAAACAGTCTGATTCATCGCACTTTTCAAGCACATACTTTAATGCCATTATAAGTATTAATGCAATGTGTCATAAGGTATTGTTTTGTGCAAAGAGCCTTTTGATCATTTAAGTGAAACTTTTAAAAAATTGCAGAGGGAAAAGGAACTGCATCTAAGTTCCTTGCTTTATTGCAATTACGGTTTTTCAAAATTCCTTTGACATTTATCGTATTTCTGCTTTAAATTAGCCAACTCAGTGCAGCTGAAGATGGAAATACTGATAATTAACAAAAGTGCATCATGATTATATTTGTATTTTCTCTGTTCAAACTTATCTGTCTATTCTGTTTATATTGAACTGATTTGGTACTGCAGAGAAGTATCAACCCTTCAAGAAAAAACACTGTTTATTCAAAGTTAAAGACCTTTTTAGAGTTCTGTTTATCCAGTTGAAGGAGAGAGTTATGAGGGTCTGTTTTTGGCTGTTTTATGCCCATTTTAGTTAACAAAAAGTATCAAAATACTCAGGCAGCCATATAAAATAGAAAGGGGAAGAATGAAAAACCACAACTGTAATATTGGAGCTTTAGGCCTAAAGTCATCACAGCCCTGGGCACAGAAAGCCAACTTAAAACAGAATGCTTCACCTTATAACACCAGTTTTTGTTTCTCCACCCACAAGCAAATAGTTTCCCTTGGAATTTTGAAAGATGAAAGGTTTTTATTTTATCTCTTTGACACAGTGAGATTATTTCAGCTACAATATGTTTTTTAAGGTAGGTTGAAAATGGAATTCTGTTTCCCAAGGTGTCTAAAGCAGAAGAAATGGCAAGAGTTCCATCAAACAAAATGACTTTTACTTTGAGGAAGATCAAAACAGCAGCAGTTAAAGAACCAACAATTTTTCTTCTCTTTAAATGTCTTTTCTGTTGGAAAACTCTTATACATTTTAGGGCAGGGTGAATTCCTTATTTTATTTTAAAACTGGTTTTGACAATTAGTTTGTTTAAACCACTAAAGCTGTTACATACTACTTGGTGCTCAGTTTGAGAGAGAAATTTTCTTTTCTATTGGTTTAACAACAGGAAGGAAGGAAGGAAGGAGGGAGGGAGAGAGAGAGAGAATGAGAGAGAGAGAGAGATTACTTGTGTATATTGGACTCAGGAATGAGCACATGAAGGAAGGAACAATTCTATTCAGCTTAACAAAATGGGTTGCAAGAAACAAGTTAATTTCAGACTAATCATATTTTGTCTGGGGCTTTGGTCTTCAATAGAAAACTACAGTTCCTCCAGCTGTCAACATATAATTCTATCTGTCAACAAAGCACTTTGCCTCTAGATGAAGTGAAGCTGGTAAATACTTGTCCTGCCCGGGGTGTTGAGGAGGCAAGGTGGTACAAAATCTAAGCCCCTAACTTTAATGTGACTGCCTGTACCCAAGGGTAGCTGTCTTTCCATATCTACTCACACTGGCCAGCAGCAATCTTGCAAATGTCTCAGGATAGTCACCAAGCTCCCCAATCCTGCATTTGTCCACAAATGTTCTATTTAGCTCCATCAACCTTGATGACTGGATGACTCAAGCTAAAACCTGTAGGGTAGTCAAGAGGGTGCTTTGGCACTCAAAGGGTGCCCTGGAGTGATATGGTCAAGCTTTACAATTGTCCTCCATAGCCAGTTTTGATTGGGAATTCCTTCCAGTTCTTGGGAAGATCATAGAATAGTAGAGATGGAATGGGTCAGAAGCCCACTGCACCAACCCCCTGCAATTGCAAGACACTAAATTATACCATCACATTTAGATGACAGTCCAAATGCTTTTTTAATATCTCTTTTGGGTGAGAGCCCACAACTTCCCCAGGTAATAGGTTCGATTGTTGTACTTCTCTGACAGTCAGGAAGTTCTTCCTGGTTTCTGGTCTAAATATGGTTTCCTTTAACTTAAGTTTGTTATTCTGTGTCCTGTTCTCTGGAATGAACCAGATGAGATCTTGTCCTACTTCTTTTGTTAACCTTTCAGTTACTTGTAGAGTGCTATTGCCCCTCATAGTTTTACTCCTGAGGCTGAACATCTCAATCTTTCGTTATAGGGTTTTTCCTCCAGTCCCTGAATTATCCTTATTGCCTTTCTCAGCACCCTCTATAGCTTTCCCACATCTTTTTTTCGATGCCCCACTCTGCTCACCATTCCTTGTCTGAAGGGGACAGGAAAACTTGCATTTGCGGCTAACCACCAGGGAGGACCATCATTACTTTAAGCAAGTCCATGCATGCATGACTGCAGTTTGTTTTCTTGATTGCTCAATATTTGAAGCAGTTCAATACCTGTATGTTTTCCTTACCAATTCATTACTACACATTCAGTGGAGCTTACCTCTTAGTAAGTCGGCTTAGGGTTGCAGCCTTTGTTATCTCTGACAAAGAATTATGCCCCAATTGTGTTTTATCATCTATAAGCAGATTTAGTTCAGATTTCTGTCTGATCATATTCTTGGGCTTTGCAAGGAATACAGTATTTGCATGCACTTGTCCCTTTTGAGAGCATCTTATTTGCTGTCATTGGAATATTTGTATTTGGACCCATAGAAAACTAAGCAATCAGCACAGTTTATCTCTGTATGACATTTCCTAATGTGATTCATGCATTTGATGGGTCACTTTTTTTATGAAAATAGCCATTCTTTCCAGCTGTCTAATGATGTGGTATTTGGATCCAATTCAATTTATATGTTAACTATGATGTAAGGAGGAAAGAAAATACTTTGTGAAGGATTTCTCTCTATTTAGATTTCATTGCCTTTTTTCATTTTTCAAACTATATATTGACATATGAATTTTATTTAAGTATCAGGCTAGTGTTGACATGAATCCTGGTGTAAGAAAATGTGTTTTTATTTTTTATTATATTATTGTCCATCTTTTTCCTCCAGCAAGGAACACAGGGTGACTAACACAGTTCTCATTTTCTCCATTTTATCCTCACAAAAACCTTGTAAGATATTATTATTATTATTATTATTATTATTATTATTATTATTATTATAACATTTCTATGCCGCCCCTTGCCGAAACCTCGGGGAGGCTTACAAC